CATTCCGATGATACCATTGAAAGATACAAGGCTCAACTAGTGGCCTAAGGATACACTCAAATTTCGGGTCTTGATTACTCTCATACGTTTAGTCCGGTTGTTAAAGCAGCTACTGTCTGAATTGTTCTCTCTCTCTCTCTCTCTCTATCTCTCTCTCTCTCGCAGTCTTGAATAGTTGGAAGTTGCATCAACTTGATGTAAAAAACGCCTTCTTAAATGGGAACTTAGATGAGACAGTCTATATGGAACAACCTTTGGGATTTGCCGATTCTCAATTTCCCAACCATGTGTGTAAGTTATCCAAGGCGCTTTATGGCTTAAAACAAGTTCCACGAGCTTGGTTCCAACACTTGAGCACTTTTCTTCTTTCATATGGCTTTAGTTTCAATCGTGCAGACACTTCTCTCTTTGTGTTTACAAATGTCTCATGCATCATGTACTTACTCGTATATGTGCATGATCTTATTCTTACAGTAAATGATGAGACTGCTATTGCCAATTTTATTTCTTGTTTAAATCACAAGTTTGCCATCAAAGATCTTGGCGATCTTAGTTATTTCTTGGGCCTTGAAGTTGCTTACCTAGACAACGATCTTTTTCTCAATCAATCAAAGTATGTGTCACACCCCAAAACCGTGAACGGCGGAATACGTTTTGGGGTGGAGGACGTCATGTAAAGTATCATAACAATTGCATAATAGTAAAAACAAGCGACAACAACCATTACATTAATATAGTAATTGTAAATATAAACGTGTTCTGTACAGTTGATAGATACCAAAAATAAAAATAAAAGAAGGGTCTTGTATATGCTCCATCTTCTTAAAAGCTGCACCAATACCTGTCTATTTTTGACCTGAGAATACAAGTTATTTTGACAAAGAGTATCAGCATAAAGCTGGTGAGTTCATAAGAATTTAGTGGCGTTGCTTGTATAAAAGTGTTTACAATCATGTAATGTAAAAGCTGTGATTAATGTTTGGGAACAGTAAATATCCTTAGAAAATCCTATATTTTCCTGATTTGAGCATTTGTAAGTTTAATCATTCAAGTGTGTAAAAGTATTTCCGGCTAGCTGTAGTAGTGTTGCAAACTTCAATTAGTAATATGTTTTTATTTACTTTGGGAAGTTAGTTTAACCTTTAATTTTTAGTGTGTAAGTTTGATTAAGGAACTGATTTTCCACGTAACCAATCTGAGTGATGACAGAGAGTCTGATGACCTTCCCGGTCATGCGTAGTGTAGCAATGTTTTGTCACCCCTAGGCCTAGCCGGCTCGGACTGTAGTTAACAGTCGGGATGTAATAGTGTCCTACCTGTATAGATCTATACATGTAGTGTTGCTTTCCTTCCGGAAAGCCCTGGTTACATGGTATTCGCGCAGTAGAGTGCCGTAGAGAGGGATAGTTCATCACATTCTGGATTAGTGTATTCTCTTGTATTATAGTATAGCTAACTTTTAGTATAGTATATAGAGTGTTCTCTTTAACATGTAGTAACTTGTATTAGTAGAAATTATAGTGTGTATCATAGTGATAGAGGTAATGAGCAGTAGTCTTAACTATACATATTATAGTTAAATAGAGTGTGGGATTTGCATGCCTTTGGTTTACAAAGGTATTAAATAAGGTGAAGACTTTCATATCTAACAAAAATATATATGATATATAACTAAGAATTCAACGATAGTCGGACGGATAACAATATACCCTAAGACCACAATCAAATAAGAACAGGAAATAAGGTGAGCTATCGGTCCTATGTCCTTCAAGTCTTACTTATATAAATATATTGGTGTAGATATAGTTTAAAAGATAACACAATTTGAAAATAATTGAACACCAATTTAACCTAGAAAAATGCGTTTGATAAGTATTTAAAACAATTTTATTGACAAGTAGCTAAAAATATAGAAAATTCTTTTTGATTGCAAGTTATAAATCACATATGATTTAATACTAAAACTTGTTGTATTTAACTTGTATTCCCCCCCCCCCCCTAAAACATGTAAAAACATTTGAACAACTTAATTAAGGGGTATGAACTCACCTGTAGCGAGTAGATTGGGTGGAAGTGTCGGATGAGCAGTTGGTGTCAAGTGAAGACTTAAACACACTTTATGACCCTAGTAACATATGAAGACATATGTTTACATGTAATTGGTGATTAAGACACTAATTAAACACATATAGGCATCCTAATGTGAAGAAAAACTCTTTGGTCAAGTGTTAGGAAGCTATTGGGTTGCAAGGGAGGAGTGTAAGGTCCCACTATGGAGTTTACTCCTCAATTACTCACCTTAGGTGAGTTTGCGGTTGAGGGACCCATTCCCCCATAAGTTTACGATCGTAAACTCATGGGAGGGGTGTATTTGTGTGCTTTTAAGCTTCATGCCTCACTAAGGAAGGTTCTAGGGTTGATTTCAAGGGTTTTAGGAAGTGGTTAGGGCATGAATTTCCCATTTTTCGGAGTTTACGGTCCTTGGAACCTTTTGGGGAGTTTACTACCGTAAACCCATGAGTTTACAGCAGTAAACTCATGGTTTATCCATCCACTTCGAATTTTGGGGTTCCTAGATCATCCAAGCAAGTTCCTAGTCCATAAGTCGTGCTAGATAGGGAGTTGGGTCATCAAAACACCCTTTTCGGGGTGTTTACGGTTCTTGAATGGTTCTTGGGAGTTTACTACCGTAAACTCATGAGTTTACGGCGGTAAACTCATGGCTATTCCATCCATTTCGTGATTTGGGGTCCTTAGGTCATTTATGCAAGTTTCTAGGTCAATATCCAAGCATTGGGAGGGTTTGGGGGCATCAAAAACCCCTTTGTTGGGTGTTAACGGTTCATGAATGTTCATGGACCATAAACTCATGTTTACCCCCCTTAAAGGCATGATTTTGGGTTTCTAATTTCATGCATGCAAGATTCCAAGTCATAGACAAGCATTAGAAGGGTTTTGGTGGGATTTTGGGGCCTTAAAACCCCTTTATGGGAGTTTACGGTTTTGGGAGGTGTTCCCCAACCGTAAACTCTAGTTTTTGGGGTGTTTGGTTGATAAAATCCTAATTTGCATGAATACAAAGCAAAACAACAAGCTAGGAATAATTACTTACGGATTTGGAGCTTGAATGAGGTGTTTCTTGGCCAAAAACCATTTGTAGAGAGAGAGAGAGAGAGTGGCTAGAGTGGTAAAAAAGTTTAAGTTGTTGACCAATCAACCCTTATATAGGGTTTGAGTTTGTGGCTAGGTGAAAATTTACCTGATACCGACGTTAAACGGGGCTTATGGTCGTACCCGGCTTAGTCGTAAACTAAAACTTTTCCATAATTACATTCGAGGGTGTTACACGTGTATTTATTTCATTTCAACCCTTATGAAATTAAATAAAAACATTAATTTATTTGTCTAACCCAAAACTTAACGAAAATAATAATAAAATATTTTTATTTAACGGAAATGGGTTACAGTGACGGAATAAATTTCAGGTTGTCACAGTATGCTAGCGACATCCTCACAAGGGCTGATCTTTATGATTCTAAACCCGTGAGCACGCCTCTACCTCCCCATGCATCCTTTAAAACAGATGGTACACCTTTTAAGGATCTAACTCTCTATTGATCTTTAGTCGGGGCTCTTTAGTATTTGACAATCATGCGACCAGATTTGTCTTACACGGTTAATCAAGTTTCTCAATTTCTCCAAACTCCAATGGTTGATCATTTTCAATCTGTTAAACGAATTCTTCGGTATATTAAAGGCACCATCTTCTTTGGTCTCACTTACAGTCGGCCTCACAAAAATTCCATACTTGGCTACTCTGATGTTGATTGGGCTCGCTTAGACACAAATCACTCTACATATGGCTACTCTATTTACCTAGGTGGGAATCTTGTGTCTTGGAGTGCTAAAAAGCAACCCACTGTCTCACGGTCCAGTTGTGAATTTGAATATAGGGTAATGGCTACTACCGCTGCTGAAATAGTATGGATTACTCATCTCTTAAGAGAGTTGCATGCGCTTCCTCCAGACAAAGCTGCACTTCTTTGTGATAACAAGAGTGCTCTTTTTATGACACAAAATCCAGTCTTGCATAAACGTGCCAAGCACATTGATTTAGACTATCACTTTATCCGAGAATTGGTCAGCTCAGACAAACTCTTCACAAAATTTGTTCCAACCAATCTTTAGGTGGTCGATATCTTCACTAAAAGTCTTTCACGTCCTCAGTTCGAGACTTTTCGTGCCATGCTACGCCTAGGACCACCACCGTTTCGATTAAAAGGGGGTATTAGTGGATAATATTATTGTGTATTTATCTTATTTATTGTTTTTATTTATCTCCTTATTTGTAGGGGTATTTTGTTGTAAATCCATTATATATAATCGATTCTCTCATCATTAATTGATGGGGTTTATTTTATTACTTGTTATAGTCCGGCTTGATCGCAGCACATACACCTATATTTTCCACACCATTAAGATTTTAGGATTGTACTTTAATAATTGTTTTTTTATTATAAAACTAGTTTACAACCCATGGGAACCACGGTTACAAAATTAATAAAAATTTTATAGTAAAAAACTCAAAATTATTAATTAATTATTTTAAATAAATTATTAATTAAGAGTTTTTTTAGTTATACAAATTTTTGTCATTGATTTAAATAAATATGTGAAATTATATCATTTGTATCATTTTTATTTTAATTTTTATTCTAATATTATCAATTTAATGTAATTAAAGTGAAAATTTTAAAATTTAAAATTTGAAATGGTGTTGACAAGTGGTATACATTAATTAGGATACATAACAAAATAAGAATAAAATATGCATTAATTAAGAGATCTAATAGGATTACACATGTCAAAAGAAGAATAAAATTATTCTTTTATTAAAATAGAGATACATTTAAATGTTTTAGTAAATGATAAACGGATGTTTTGATTTTCTTTAAAATGAAATTTTGATCTTTATATTTTTGGGTGTTATATCATGGCCTCATACATCATGTGCAATGGATAAATATATAGTCATATCTAGACTATACAAGGAATTAAAAACATATGATTAAAGCATATCTTTTTGTTATAAATTTATTTATACTTTTCCTCTATCGTTAGTTAACTTGAAATAACTAGCTTTCATATTAGTCAACAACTCTTTTAATATTGTTCACATTAAATTTCCTAAGTCTTAATTAACTTTCCTTTTATTTGATCGTCGTCAACAGAAATTTCAAGGAAGTGTCATTTTGGTCAAATATTTTTCAAATTGAGATATATAAGATTAAATAAATTTCTTCTAATGAAAACTACAAAGAAATATAACTTTAAAATAATAATATACCGAGGCTCAATGCGCTTACCATCACGAGCATAAATATATGAACCATACGTCTCTGTTTCTGTCTATATTTCAATTCAGATTTCAGACACACAAATGGCTCAAGCCACTCCCAATCACAAGCTCACTGTCTCCGGTTGGGCCGCTCATGATAACTCCGGCCTAATCACTCCTTACACCTTCAAGAGAAGGTACATATGCTTTCATTTATTGTCAATTATTTCCAGTTTTTTCATTTATTCTTTTTATTTCATGCTTATTTTGAATTTTGATTCTAATAAATCATGTTTCATAATGTTTATTTTCCATAGAGTTAACGGACCTGATGATGTTTCGATCAAAATCTTGTATTGCGGAATATGTCACACAGATATTCACCATGTCAAAGACGATTGGGGTATCACTAGGTACCCGGTTGTTCCCGGGTAAGTCGATTTCTTGGTCTTCCGTACAAATTTGAAGCTCTCATTGAACATATAAATTTTTGTGTTTATGTATGTGCATGTCGTTGTAACTGTTACTATGTCCTACATCGGTCAAACATTGTCCCGTGTGTCTCTATTTATGTTCCGGTTTAACCTCTTTTCATCTAAGTTTTTTGAAAACTAATCCAAAGACTACACATATATCTTGCATGGTATTATAGTTGGTGCCTCTCTTCTACAACTTAACACCTCCTTGTTTATTCTCGTATCAAGCTTCCATCTGTAAAAAGTGTTGGTGTGTCCACGGTCATTTCATCTCTCTCTCTCTCTCTCTCTCTCTCTCTCTCTCTCTCTCTCTCTCTCTCTCTCTCTCTCTCTCTCTCTCTCTCTCTCTCTCTCTCTCTCTCTCTCTCTCTCTCTCAGTGTAATCCAAGGACTCCACGTATATGTAGTAACTACTAGGTGAAACGATTTAATTAATATTGTCAAATGTCAAGTGTTACTTGGTTTACATACAATGAAAGGATGTTGCATGTTTTAGGCATGAAATAACAGGATTGATAACCGAAATCGGGAGCAACGTGGAAGGGTTCAAGATCGGGGACCGAGTTGGGGTAGGATGTCTGGCTGCATCATGCTTGGACTGTGAATTTTGCAACGACTCAATGGAAAATTACTGTGACAAGATTCAGTTGACATACAATGGTATCTTCTGGGACGGCAGCATCACCTATGGAGGTTATTCTGAGATGTTGGTCTTCGATCATCGGTAAATCTTAAGCTTACCTTTTAATGACATTTTGTATCATATTCATGGGTTTACATATTTACTATTTATTAATTCAATTAAAACTATATTTATTGTTTCATATATAATAGTATTGAAGGTAATATTAATACTATATTAATATAATAATATATAGTATTTAATACAGTTTTGAAGTTCAATAAAAACATCACATGTCATTGTTGTTGGGGTGTAAACGCAGTAGGTGGTTAAAGAAAGTGGGTGGACCGGTTCAATGCGAGTGGTATTGGCTAGACCAGTATTTAATTCTCACACCAACATTAAATTATGATGGAAATATGCCATGACTCGCACTAAAATAATTGAACCGGAGTCATTTACTAGCGGACGATTATTCAACGGACCCGGTCAATGTGTTTAATATTCCAACGATAAATTATAACGAACAGTTCATATTATTAAATTGGTCACAGAGAGACATTTATGTGTGGACCATACATGGGATTGGTCGATGTATAAGGATCAGGACATATTGCATCGAATCTGATCGGACACGTTTCTGCTTTTAATTTATTTTAATCATGATGATTTTTTATTTTTGTGCAAAAATCGTATAAAACAATAACATCTATCCGTACGTGGAAATCGTATTTTCAGTATGTTCGTATATGTTGTATTTACTTCAATGAATCTAGTGAGTAAAGTTAAAGACTTTAACTAAAAAGAATAAAACATGTTCAAGTAGTTTAAAAGTGGTCTAAATTGTAGCCGACTGTGTATACTTTATAGTACTTTCTCTCTATAAAAAAGGGGACAGTCATATGAAATCCAGAAAAAGGTTGAACGTATATGTAGTTATATATATTTTAATTTATTGTCGTACTTGTTCGTTTTGTTATGCGTCTTACATTTATATTATTCTATTCTTTTTATCAAATATGCATTTTATGCAAAATTTAGAATAACAATATCTAACAAAAGAACATATTATGGATATATGTTGAAGGTATGTAGTACATATACCGGAAAGCTTGCCGATGGATGCAACTGCACCACTTTTATGTGCAGGGATCACAGTGTACTCACCAATGATCGATAGTAAGTTGCATGAGTCGACTGGAAAACGAATTGGGATCATGGGGTTGGGTGGACTCGGACATGTTGCTATCAAATTCGGTAAAGCTTTCGGTCACCATGTTACAGTCATTAGCACCTCTCCTTCTAAAGAGAAAGAGGCGAAGGAATGTTTGGGCGCTGATGATTTCATCATCAGTACTGATCCCAAACAAATGCTGGTTAGTTCTTAGTTACGATATTATTTGCATAAAAAAAACATTTATGTTGTTATTGTGATAGGACATGTTATTTAAAAATTTCATGATGTCATGAGAATAAAATATGGGGTTGGCTAAAAAGACACCCCATATTGCAATATGGACACCCTAAATAATTTTTTAAATATTTTTATTGGCTAAAATTGTATTGTTTTCCGAAAAAGCTGATTAAAATCAGTTAATTATTGGTTGACTTTTTAAAAAATGGTCAATGGGGTGTCCAGGAGTGTCTTATTAGCAACACCCTAAAATATATGCTGCATGTGACAATTAGAGTTTTAAAATATTGATAAGTAATCCATAGTTTGAGTTGACTTTTTATTGTTTCAGTCAAAGATGAGGACACTTGACTTCATATTGGACACTGTGGCTGCACCACACTCGCTTGGACCAACACTTGAGCTGCTCAAAGTGAATGGGACACTGGCACTTTTGGGTGCGCCCGACAAGCCTCTAGAGTTGCCTGCTTTCCCTATGATCTTTGGTACGTAAGCTTACCCTTTCACTTTTTTTAGGGTTATTAAATATTATATGCATGTGTGGTAGACCAATCTAACAGGCTAAATAACTTGTTAAAACGGGTTTGGGCGACATTATTATAAAAATAAATTATCTAAGTATATATCTTAATTAAGAAAGTATTGTAAAAAGTCCAGGATATGTCTTGCCTTTTATGTGTTGAAGTATACAACATATATACTTGCATACATAATTACACATATATACCCATTTACATATGTATACCCATTTAGGCAAAAATTGTTCGTACTTTATAAATTAACTATAATGACATATGTACACATACACATAGATTTTCATATCAACTAATGTGAATATGTTTATTGAGCTAAATTAAGTATACGGATATATAATTATGATAGGAAAACGGACGGTAAAAGGTAGCATGACCGGAGGCATGAAAGAAACTCAAGAAATGTTGAACTTTTGTGGGAAACACAACATCACATGCGATATTGAGATGGTTACATCTCACAAAATTAACGAAGCCTTAGAAAGATTGGCCAACAATGATGTGAAGTATCGTTTCGTCATTGACATTGCTGGCAAAAACTCAAGCCTTTAATCCAATGTTTCAAATTATGTTTATGTTTTTTGTGTTTTTGAAATTACATTCGGTTTCAGTTTTTATAACTTGTTTGTCATTCTAATGTAATTTGAATTATATCACCTTTAATATTTTCTAAGGAAGTGATTCGAATAAAACAGTTTTTCTTAGTACACAACAATTTATGATTTATAGAGTTGTAAAATACAACATTTTAAAATACAAATTGTTATGCAGGAAAAAAATTGTATATGAAACAGCTCTATTTTCTAGTGTTTAAGCGGTGCTTGAGTTCTTATTTAAAACAACTATTTTATTTTTGTTATTTTTTTTAAAAAGTGCATGCTTGCCTATCCGGTATCAAATTAGCTTATGTGTAACTAATTTTTTTTTTAGTGTTTAACAAGTTTTATACATATAAACTAAACACATAAATATCTTTATATATTTATTATTGATGGTATGTCGTAATTATAACCAATATTAGAGTTCATGTTATGAGTTGATGGACACGATTTCGCTTGATATAACCAATGTTGGATTTTATGTTGTGAGTGTGATGGCAATAAGTTTGTATCCACCTAAAAAGAAAATCCACCCATGCTCCGGGAGGAGTTACAAAATGACCCTAAAAAGCCTTAGTTTGTAGGGATTTGAGAAAAATAGAGTCTATATGGTATGAGGAGGAAATGTTGTGTACCTTTTGCATGTTATAAGAGTATGTGTTTATAGTTATCTTAGGTACAAGATGGTGAAGGCATACCCAAGATTTAGTGTGTGTAGTACAATTGCCTTTGGACCAACTTTTGTGATGTTAGCATGATAAAGTTGGTTAGCCTTCATCTTTAGTTTGAATCTCGGTTTAAGTAGACATGTCAGTTAAGGCTTGTTATTCTTTTAATGATGTGATTTTATGGCAAATCAAGTTCTAACCAAAGCAATGATGCTCATCTTATTATTCTCCGGATCCTTACACCTACATTACATTATGGAGGGTAAAATCCTTAATAAGCTTCCCATTCTAAAGTGTTGTGAAGGACAAGTAAAGTTTGTTTCAGACTTTTAATATGTGTTGCCTACTCAAATAACTTTTTAGCGTGTGGTCTTAGTTTTGTGTGTATCTCGATTAGGCGATTATTTTGTAAAAATATACTATCCATCCATTTCATATTTGTCGTTTCCCTCCCATCTTCATCTCTTTTTGTATTTCCCGCCTTCCATTTTAGAGTATGATATATATATATATATATATATATATATATATATATATATATATATATATATATATATATATATATATAGTATTAAGAAGGGTAAGTTTATGGTCACGTACTTAAATTTACTGGCTATTTAAAACATTTTTTACGGTTCTCATGTCGATGATATTGAGATATAGGATATTAGTCAGGGTATTACAACAATATCAACCAATAAGGTCAATCTTTATACTGGTTTATTTGAGGTGTGCTTGAGATTACATGTTTCATATTTTATGAGGGATGTCATGTACTAAATTTGTACTCCATGTTTCTTGCATTAAGCCAAAGATTGTTTTTTTATCGTAATGGTTGAGATCTTAAGCCATAGTTTGGATGTCATGTCGGAGGTTTTCCTATTATGTTCTCTTTATTGCTTAATGTATACCGAAAATAGTTTTCTTTTGTGGTGCAATCTAATATTGGGGAAATCGATGATGGTCTTAAAGGAAGTTGGCGACTTTCGAGCTCTTGGGTGCTAGATCTACATCTTGAAATAGTGGATTTGATGAAAAAGGACAGATGGTGTAAAAGGTTTAAACTCGACGAGTTTTCCAGCCAACTCGACGAGTTGGTTGGGGTTTTTCCTGACTTTCTGATTAATAAAGGAACTCAACGAGTTGATAAGTGCACTCGACGAGTTGGGTCAACATGGGCTGTTAACCTTGACTGTTGACTGTTGACTTTGACCATGGTTGACCAAGTTTGACTTTTGAGGGCATTTTGGGTATTTCAGAGTTTTTGAAATGGTCACATGGTGGTTGTAGGCATTTGAGTCAGGAGTTGAGATTTGAGAGTTGGATCTTATCAGTCAGTGCTGCTTATGAGGTGAGTTTTCCTCATTGTACTTACGGGTCGAAGGCACCAATACCGGCCCAGGATATGTCTTGCATTTTATGTGTTGAAGTATACAACATATATACTTGCATACATAATTACACATATATACCCATTTACATATGTATACCCATTTAGGCAAATATTGTTCGTACTTTATAAATTAACTATAATGACATATGTACACATACACATAGATTTTCATATCAACTAATGTGAATATGTTTATTGAGCTAAATTAAGTATACGAATATATAATTATGATAGGAAAACGGATGGTAAAAGGTAGCATGACCGGAGGCATGAAAGAAACTCAAGAAATGTTGAACTTTTGTGGGAAACACAACATCACATGCGATATTGAGATGGTTACATCTGACAAAATTAACGAAGCCTTAGAAAGATTGGCCAACAATGATGTGAAGTATCGTTTCGTCATTGACATTGCTGGCAAAAACTCAAGCCTTTAATCCAATGTTTCAAATTATGTTTATGTTTTTTGTGTTTTTGAAATTACATTCGGTTTCAGTTTTTATAACTTGTTTGTCATTCTAATGTAATTTGAATTATATCACCTTTAATATTTTCTAAGGAAGTGATTCGAATAAAACAGTTTTTCTTAGTACACAACAATTTATGATTTATAGAGTTCTTATGGGATCTGCTGCACTCACGACTTTAAAACGTGTTGTGACAAGGAAGGTATCTACACCCCTTATAAGTAGATGTTTCGTTCTCCTTCCAAGCCGATGTGGGATCAGATCTAACCCACTTTCACCCCCCATTATAGGGTTCGACGTCCCCGTCGAACACATCGACCCGTGCCCTAGCTCTGATACCATTTGTAACACCCCCTCTGGCACGTATCACAATATTGTCCGCTTTGGGCCACTTGGCACGAGGACTTCCCAGGGGGTCACCCATCTCGGTACTACTCCCGCCCGAGCACGCTTAACTGCAGCGTTCTTATAGGATCTGCTGCCCTCACGGCTTTAAAACGCATTGTGACAAGGAAGGTATCCACACCCCTTATAAGTAGATGTTTCGTTCTCCTTCCAAGCCGATGTGGGATCAGATCTGTGACATCCCCAAAATCACGGCCAGGAAAGACCAGTTTTGTTTATACTTTATTTCAAAATTAGAGTTATCTTTTAATAAAAGGGTTGCGGAACTTGTCCTAAAACAATAATATGATAAAGATTTATCAAAAGCATTTCCATAGAAATGTATTTCATTAAAAGACTCGGGATGTCATGTTCGTACAGATCAAAAGTATAAACAGTACAATATAAGCCTTACTACATTATTTCATATCTACAGGCCTATATCCGTAATCCCTCGTCCGAAACATCACACCTATGCTCATGCGCCACTACCTGTAATACATAAAACTGAGTGGGTCAGGCTTGGGAGCCTGGTGAGCACATAGGGTTTTCAACCCACAATAAATAAGATTATTAATTTCATCAATCAACAATAACCCGATTACCCGTTCCCGTTATCCTCACTTTACGTCCCTAAACACCTATCATAAGGAACCTAGCCTAAGGATCATCATCGGGACGGACACTACTGCTAAGGGGATTCCTCAGCAATATATGTCCTAATAGGCAACCATGTGGGGGATGGAGTACACTGGTGAACACATCGTTCACAACACCTACAGGTTGCGAGCTTGCTAGTGTTCCACTGGACTGTCTAGAAGAGTCCGTGGTTGTCATCTATACTCCGCTAGATGACTGGATCAACAATAACAACATCGAGGCCTCTCATCATTTTATCACACATCACCTATTACATCTACCCATGTTTTACCCCAACATTTTCATAGATATAAAATACATATATAGTTTAAATCATTGAAAACATATATAACAACGTTCATCTAGCATAGATAGCAAGTATTCAGATAATATGCACACATAACACGTAATTTATATAAAATACTTCATATCTATGTGTAAGTTGAAAGTCACTATGCACTCACCTGATTAGGTGGTGACTCAGCACTCGGACAGTGCTTCGATACTCTCACAACGATTTTCCTTTGATAAAACCTAGTATTGATACCACTAGGGTTTAGTCTAATGATAACCGCGACAAATTAATTATCTGACTATTATTATTATTATTATTATTATTATTATATAAGCGTTAATAACACTCAGTATAACTCATAATAATAGCCCAAATAATTATTTTAAGGACCTAATAACATTCCTATATTAAAACATAAGCTAAACTAAAGATAGGATAGGTACAGCTCACTTACAGCGGGTTTTTCTCAAAAACTAAGCATTCCTTATAAGGGGTGTGGATACCTTCCCTAACACAACGCGTTTTAAAGCCGTGAGGGCAGCAGATCCCATAAGAACTCTACAGTTAAGCGTGCTCGGACGGGAGTAGTACCAGGATGGGTGACCCCCTGGGAAGTCCTCGTGCCGAGTGGCCCAAAGCGGACAATATTGTGATACGTGCCAGAGGGGGATGTTACAAATTTAGGTTCCCTCATTTCCTCACCCCTCACCCCTCTTCTTTCTCTCTTTAAACTCTCTCTCTAAGCTCCCTAACCCCTCTAAAAGCCTAGGTAAACCCCCTAGCACCCGAAGGAAGCCCCGAGGCTCTCGGAGTCCCGAGAAAAGAGCCTTTCAGCTCGGGAATGCTGCTCCAGCGAAGCCCGGTTTTCGAGAAAAACCCGCTGTAAATGAGTTGTACCTATCCTATCTTTAGTTTAGCTTATGTTTTAATATAGGAATGTTATTAGGTCCTTAAAATAATTATTTGGGCTATTATTATGAGTTATATTGAGTGTTATTAACGCTTATATAATAATAATAATAGTCAGACAATACTGTTATGATCTGTTAAATCGATATCCTGGTAGATAGGATGTTGCTATGCTTAGTGATCGGTTAGATCTGTTTGACTGGTTGTAGACTGCCATATGATTATATGTTATATGTGCATACGGTGGTTGAGGTTTCTATGCTTTGTACGTAAGCCAACAGGTCGAGGGTATTCCAACCCTATGGTTGATTGAACCCATAGTATTGAAGGGTTTTGAGCATTCTAACACTCCTATGGTGTAAATGTAACCCTAGATGCCTTGGATCTATGTTTTATCTATCATACATGCAAACTTTCAATTTTCCAGGGCATCATCCTAACTAGCATACTATGATTTGAAACC